AACTGAATTTTCAGAGACTTTCCTGCCAACCCATCAATGTCTTGTCTTCCTTTGAACTGAGCTCCTGGCTACTGTTATGATGAGACAGACTTCATGCTGCAACTTTTTTGAAAAAGGATGTATAAAAACAATGTACTCTTCAGACTCTTCTTAGAATTAGCTGATCTTTGCTTTACCAACACATTTTAATTTTCTCTCAAAGAGTTTTAACTATTTTGATGTTCTCACCAGTAAGAACATCAGTGAACCCAGAGTACTTTCTGCTCAAGGATAATGTATCCTTCTGCAGGGCATCTAGTGGCTGGGGTCTATTGTGTTATCTTCAATAGAAACTTAATCCCCAAACCCCAACACGTCACCTAGTATTAAACATTATGAAGGCTTACAATTCCAAAACACAATAATAAGTATAGGAGATTTTAATGTTCACTTAGAATGGTCCAACAACAGAGGAAAAATCAATAAAACAAGCAGAAGCTTTGCAGGTTCACTCAATAAATGTAACACTGTTTGCCAATTTAAAAAAAAATCCTGCAAATGTTATTCCAAACTTTAGAAGTTCAAACTAATTTACTCTAGCAGTGATTGCATATGTCTCATATTAGCTTCCTGCCAAGATTTCTGGATGAGCCTGAAGGAAGATGTTTGCAGAAGGAAAACACTTTAAGCAAATATTCTACATTATAGAGAAGAATTACCAGATTTGTATTGCTTTGGGTCATTTTGTAGCACCATTTTGTAGTCTGCCAAGAAGGTAAATCTCCATCCAAGCTATTAATCACTTCAGTAAGAACATCTGAATTTAATATAAAACATGTCACATTTTGTGGATGCTAGCTCTACTTGTCTAACCAGTGCTTAACCAGCATCCACAGTAAGGAGAAAAAGAAGCATGTTTTTTTAGCTATCCAGGAAACATTCCTGATTATTCTGACATGCTCAAGGATCCTTTCTGCTCTGAATATTCTTTAAATCAGGAGATAAGGTCCCATGTCTTATTTTATTTTATTTCAGCTTGGACTGAAAAAGAAGGTCGTTTACTTGTAGTTACTTTTGTAGGAGGACACCCATATAATAGTTTCTTAGACTCCCACTTGAACCTTATATTATAGTACATTGCCTAGGATCCAACTGGCAACATATGCTAGTGTTAAGTGACTTGGTGTAAATCACAACAGATGATTGTCACTAATTAACAAGGTGCTGGTTGCATTCTGGATGCTGCCTGATCACACAATTTTGTGCATGCCCAGAAATGCAACCAGTATCTCTTTAATTAGTAGGAATCGACCATTGCAACTTATGCCATTTCACTTTTGCAAACGTAAGTCATCTAGCATTTAGGAGGTTCAGGTCCAAACTAGATATGAAAAGACTAGCATTTAATTTACTATCCATTTCACATATACTTGGAAGACAGGTGCCTTGCTTCAAATTGCCCTTTTATATCTGATTCAGTGGACTTACTCTAGTGCAATTTAGTATACGAAGCAGCCAATTTTTGGCCAGTATCTTCCATGCACTACAGCTATTGCCGGCACTGGAAGTCAACTTGGCATCTAAATTCATCACTGAGTTTCAGCATTGGCTTCCTGTCATGCATAAACAAAGAAACAAACACAACAGTTGCTGGGGGGAGGGTCCCTATACAACATCACAGTAGCCCATTCCATGTGACATCACAAAGAAAAAAACCCGCACCTAGTTCTTGGGTTTTGACCCCAAAACCTCAAGAAATGACCTCTCAGCTCTACAGAAGACACTTTCTGCAGGCAATATGCCATGTAAAACACTGTGTGCCTTTGAGTGCCGAATGTGTTAATGAAATGAAAACCAAATGTACTTGTAATCTATCCAGTAATTATATTTTCAGATTTCAGATGAGCCCAAAAGACCATACACAATGATCAACTTGAGACAGATTCATTATTTCCTAGTCTGTCATTTAAATCAACTCCCTTCACCAAGAACAAGCAGGAAAATAAACTGAAAAAAGCAAAATGGATCAAAACAGAAAACAAATAGCTGCCGGCATTGTTAAAGATCTCAACAGTTTCAGGACTAGAACTTGTGTCAAGAGATTCTGTTAAATAAAGGCATCTAAATATTAACATTCGATATTCGGTGTCTCAGAAATCCCAATCTTAGTTTTCTTCTATCAATTTATTTTAAAGCAAAGAAGGGACTACTTCTGTTATTTGACTAAGTAGGAGGGAGCATGGATGTTCAGGAGTAAGTGGCAAAACATGACAGAAGAGTCTGTTTCTCACACATAGCAATGTCAAGCTCAGTTTTAGCTTTCATTGCATGTACAAGGCAACCTTTCACAATATCACGTATTAAGAGAGGCTTTGAATAACAGCCCCCATCATCCCCCAAGCCAGGATGATGTGGGGTAATAAGCTAGGATCCCTGGAGGGAGCCATATTGAGTGAGATACAAGTCACTTTCTAAAAACTACACTGCCCTGTGTGTGTGTGTGTGCGCGCGCATGCGTGCATGTGTGCAAGCACGCGCAACACACACACAGTTGTATCCTCACACTACTACAAGTATCCAGAAGCTCCATATAACAGTAGATGAAACATCCTCAACTTGCAACCTGTCCAATCCCTCCTCTCTCTACCCTTCTCCAACTTCTGCCTGCAATGTAAGTACCTTACCGACAAGGTTGTTCTAGGAATTACCAGAGATAAGGTACACAGGCAGTGCTCTGAACACTCCATTAAACTGTGAAATGCTACGTATCATCACTAGGTTTAAAGGCTTCTAATCTTTCAGTTGATGGATAGCTGTTTGGATGAAAGATAAACATCACTCGGACACAGAACACAAGTGAACTGAAGGACAATGCTCTGGAAACACTTGGTAAATGGAGGGAATAAATTATTGGATGTTGTTCTGTGACAAAATTTCAGAAGTCAGCAATTTTTCATGTCTCAGTAAATATATTAGCTAAGAGAATACCTAGATAGCATGCTCACAGCCCAGGAATATTTCAAGAAATTTATAGAGAAAAATTGAGGTGGACATAGCCAGCAAATATATTTTCTCACTGCAAGAATAATTCTGGGTCATCTCCTCCCTTTAAATCTGGATTAACTGTCAGCTAACTACACTACAATGCACAAGTCCTGCAAGGATCCAGTTATCTAATAAAGCCAACAAGTGAAAAACACGCGGTACTTCATTGAAACTCGTCAATGTCCCAATAAAGAAGATGTTCCATAATAACAGGTGATTAACCCAGTCCTGTTCCCACTTGTGAAATTTTGAATACTGTTTTGCGTAGCCATGTTATATTGTCTGGGGTTGGAAGGATAAGAGAAAGGCTTGGCTTGTTCGTCCAATACTTGACATGCAGAGCACAAACACAAGGTTATGAACACAATGAGGGAGAGAGGGTGGCATGTCCATTAGAGAGTTTTGGAATACTCTTCAGAATGAGATGCTAAGAAAAGCCATGCTAAATCAGATGGAAGGCCTATCTAGTCTGGGATTCTGTTCACACCCAACTGCCAGCTAGTTGCCTATGGGCACTTCTAGCAAGACACATGCAAAGCCCATCTCACAAGTGTTCCTGAGTAATTGATACAAAGAAGCATTACATTTTTAAGCATATTCATTTTTAAGTGATGACCTGCATCATATTGTGGATGTCTTCCTGTGCCACAGGAGTGGCAGATTGCTGTCAAATTAAGAGTTTATTATTTGATTTTGGATTGTGCATGACTTCATCCCATTGTATGCAAAGTATGTGAAACCCAAAATCAAAATAAGAGCTCTTTAATTAGTGGCAATCTGCAGCTGCCAGTGATATCATTCCTCCTGCTCTGCAACAAGATACTGGCCAACAGCTTTTAAAAAAAATTTTTTTTTAATGATTTTAAACAGTTTTAAATGTTTTTATCTTTTCTACATTGCTTTGGTGGTGGACAGAAAAGCAAAAATAACATTTTAAACAAATAATAAACAAATACTGGACAGACTCCCATAAGTTCTTTACAGTAGTATAAATGCAATAATGAGAATCACAAGAACAAATAGTCCCTAGCTAACAAGTCAACACTCGTATTCCTTACTGAACACTAATGATATAACCAGCATGTGAAGAGGAATGCAAACAGCGGGTCCTTAATTAGTGGTAATTTCTTACTGTAATTTGTGTCATTGCACTTACTAGGCATGGAATGTTCAGAAATCATGGATGATAGCTCCTAGAAGTCTGAAGAAATTCCTCCAATCAGATTTCCGTGGAATTTAATCATGAAATCTAAGTCATAACAGGGGTTTTCAAGGTCTTAAGCTGATGAGAACTCCCATAATTTATGGGAGTCTGTCCAGCAGCCATTCTCATCCTATGGAGATGGCAGGGGAAATGGGTGATCAGGGGACAAGCTCTGTGGGAGTTGCAAGAAATTATAAATGTGGTAGCCTCTGCCCATTAGACCCTGCACTGGAAGGCTGCTTTAAAAAAAAACTACCAGACCCATAATCCCTTATGGCTCCCATGGATCTTAGACCTTGCCTGTCTGTAATATTTCCTCTGTCTTCTTCACAGGATGAAATTGGCTGCCAGAGTTGAAAGAACCAAACAGTACTTTGATTTATTGATTGAAGTCCCCAGAAGTTGGACAGGGAGAGTTCTTGCAGACATCTGGGGACTCAAATTCCATAAATACTATGCCTAACAATTATCTCAGTGTATGTAAGCAAGAGGAGCTGGCCAGTTCCACTCATGTGTAGCTATTCTGTCTATCTGCCACTAATCACACAGTGCTATTATGCTCTTAATCCAGGAAAGAAGATGTAGCCCTCCAGACGATGCTACACTATGACTCTCATCAGCATTGAACACTAGCTAAGGATGATGGGAGCTGTAGTTAAGCAGTATCTGGAGGATTACATGTTCCTCACCATCCATCACCACCTTTCTTGCTCTGATGCCATTCTAATCCCTCAGTTCCTTCATGGTTCCTCTGTTCCAAAAAGTAACTTACTCATTTAGTAAAGGCATGGATGTCCTCCTCTTGCTTTTCTGCACCATGTTAGCCTGATTCCTCAGGGAGATCCGGATGAGAGAGGGAGCCAGTCGGCAAGGCTCACCATCCACTTGCATGGGGATAGACTTGTACGTCAACAATGTCACCTCCCGGCACTGGTGTAGCCTTTCTCCATGACCTCCCACTTGAAGAGCAGCCTGAGTAAGACATGATTATAAAAGAAAGAAGGGAAAATATATACAGTACAAAGATGAGTGATCAGTTTGCTTTTCTGTGAATATTTGCCACATTAGTAGATCTTAAAGCTAAACATTAAACCAGAAGACATACAGGTCTTGTAACTTCTACTTTTCAGATATTTGTGACGTAGGTTTTCAAAATAAAGCACATCAAAAGTGCATACATTTGGGGGGAAATGCAGGGGAGATCCAAATGTACATGAAAAGGTTTTATTATGGCCAAAAAGAAGGCTTTTAATTGAAATAACATCAACTGTGGGTACTGATAGCAATTTTTAGAGTATCTATTTTAATTGTATTTTAATCATTGTATCTTTTATTGTATTTTAATTGTTGTAAGCCGCCCAGAGACCTTTGGGTAGAGTGGGTGGCATATAAGTTAAATAAATAAATAAAATAAATAAAAAGTCAGCTGAAAAAAATGAGCACAACTGAGAAATGTATACATTTTAAATATTCATACAAAAAATCTATTTTCTTAAAAGTCAATGGAAGTTTATAATCAGTCAGTTTCAGTTCTGAAATGACATGTATTTACAAACTGATTTGGATCCAGAAGATAAATCAAAATGGATTGGGTACTGTACAAATTGCTAAAGTTTTCTGTGCTCTAAGAAAAATTAATGATGACTATATGCAAACCCTGAAGACAGCTGCCTGAAATTTGGCAGGTTTACCTCTCTCTTTAGGATTTATCATGTTTCCAAATTCCATGTACACCAGCATGAAATTTTAAAAACTTATAGCTTTTAAGTTGACACATTTAGAAATCAAATCAGATCTGGGACACAAATTGCTCTTAAATTGGCATTCATTTCGAAGTCCAAAACTGCCCTACAAGCTAAATTGAAGGACTTGGACACGGGCCTATTTGATGTCATACATACAATTGCTTAGATATCTATTAGATATCAATTGGCACATCATATCAAAGATATTTGGGAACCTGTGATTTCAAAATTTATGGGCCTTAAACTTTATCAGTTGTATGCCAGGTTGTGCAATTCGACATACAACAGAGAAATTTTATGGAGATTCCTTGATCTCTGGCAGCTTGCTTCCAAAAATTATGTATTTTGCATAACTGCACAACATCTGCTGTATGGATTTTAAAAGCCATGAAAATGATGGCAGCATATATACTGTATGCCGAGGAGACAGACTGAGAAAATACTTGTGTATTTGAACTTAAGAAACAAAGGCTCCTTGGAGCATTCTACTCTCTATTTTTCTTGTCTTTGTCAAAACTTCAAGAAAGAGGTAAGGGAGAGAAAAGAAAACTTTTGGAGATAAGCGGCATTTTGATGTGCTGTTGGACGTTTTGACCATATCCTCAACGTGACACCATGGCAATCTAGTAGCTGAACAACCCTCATACCACAGACTCAATTCTCACTGGCAACTTCCTTTGCATTTATTTTCCATTTGTTCTTAGTCTAACAGATGGCTTGATTGCAGGAGGAAATCTAGAAAAAAAAACTCACCAAGGAAGCCATGGTAAATCCAATGACCTCAATGTAACCATCATCATGCCGCTGAGGTTCAAATTCTCGGTGGTCTCCTGGGTTCCCCCAAGGCATTGTGCCAGCACAATACCTATAGAAAGAAGTTGAAGACAGACAGATATGTCTTGAGACTGAGCCTGTTTACTCTTTAGTAGCAAAGTAAATCATCATGAGTATGAATGGTTTTAATCTCTACATATGTGTCTCATAGGGTTCCAGAACTACATCCTGTCACCCTCTCTTTCCATATGGAAAAAAAGCATTATTTTAAAATGGAATGATAATTTTTCCACTATGCAGTGTGTAGAAAAAGGTTATTCATTTATATCCCACTTTATGTATTTATGTCTTTATGTCTTTATGTCTTTATGAAATGGAATGATAATTTTTCCATTATGCAGTGTGTAGAAAAAGGTTATTTATTTACATCCCACTTTATTTATTTATTTATTTATTTATTTATTTATTTATTTATTTATTTATTTATTTATTTATTTATTTATTTATTTATTTATTTATTTATTGGCCCGCCTATCTAATCAAATGACCACTCTAGGAGGCTTTAGAGAACCCAAAGACATTCACAACATAAATACAGTGGTGCCTCGCAAGACGAGCGCTTCGTTTAACGAAGAAATTGCATAACGAAGAAGTTTTTGCGATTGCAAAAGCGATCACAAAACGATGTTTCCTATGGTTTTTTTTCGCTTTGTGATGATTGGTTACCTGCTTCGCTAACTGATTATCGCAAAACGAAGATTTTCGCACAGCTGATTGGCGGTTTCAAAATGGCCGCCGGGTCAAAAAAAAGGCCGACTGCTGTTTTCTGGGACGGATTCCTCGCTGCACAGGCAGCGAAAATGGCCATGCTATGGAGGATCTTCGCTGGACAGTGAGTTTCAAGCCCATAGGAACACATTAATCGGGTTTTAATGCGTTTCTATGGGCTTTTTAAAATCGCTTTATGATGTTTTCGTTCTACAGCGATTTCGCTGGAACAAATTAACATCAT